AATAATTGATTATGATTTAAACATGAATATTTTAGCTCTCTCTCTTAGCTTTCCAATGCCTCAAGAATCAGCTCAATCCAAATTTTTTAGCTCAAGTTATGATATTTTTTCCAAAATAGATGCAATTTGTCAACTGCTCTACAGCTGAGTGAGTGGAAAATTTTGCTGTAAAAGTTTAGGTTGTGTTTCTTCAATTTCAAGTACCTTATGCAAAGAATTGGATTATGATTTAAACATGCAAGTTTTATCTCTCTCTCTTAGCTTTCCAATGTTTCAAGAATCAGCTTAATCTGAATTTTGTAACTTAAGTTATGATATTTTTTTCTAAAATAGCTGTAATCTGTCAACTGCTCTACAGCTGGGTGAGTGGAAAATTTTGCTGTAAAATTTTGGTTATGTTTCTTCAATTTCAAGTGCCTTATACAAAGAATTGGATTATGATTTAAACATAAAAGTTGCAGTTCTCTCTCTTAGCTTTCCAATGTCTCAAGAAACAGTTCAATCCGAATTTTGTAATTCAAGTTATGACATTTTTTCAAAACAGCTGCAAGCTGTCAACTGCTCTACAGTTGGGTGAGTGGAAAATTTTGGATTATATTTATTCAAATTTGAGTGCCTTATGCAAAGAATTAGATTATGATTTAAACGCGAAAGTTGCAGCTCTCTCTCTTAGATTTCTAATGCCTCAAGAATCAGCTCAATCCGAATTTTGTAACTTAAGTTTTGACATTTTTTCTAAATTAGCAGCAAGCTGTCAACGTTACTATTGCTCTTAGCAGCACAAGTTTCAGTAAAATATTATTATCTCAAGTCAGAAAACTCGAATTTGGGCAATTCAAAATTATTTAGAAAGCTAAAAGAAGGAACTGGAACTTTTATGTTTTGACTTTTTTCTAATGATGCCAATAACACACCCAAAATTAAAGAAATATAAGTTGGTATCTGCACAATAACAGATTTTTGCATTAATTCGTTTTGTTACAATCATGCATTTATTTTATTACAGTTCAGTATTTGTTAATATACAATCACTGACTTTTATGTCTAAAATACACTTGAAATTAAAATATATTTTGAGTATATAAATTATCTTATCTAAAATTATTTTTATATTTGACTTGTTCAAGAATTATTTTTTTTAAACTACTTTTTAGTAATTATCCTAAAATTGTGGAATCTTTGAATACAATACTACTTAGTTTTGCACGATTTTTTAAAAAGCACATGAACCCTACCAGCACCCCCTCCTTCTGTTTCCTCTCAGATGTCGGCGACCTCGGAGGGCTCAACCCCTCTCCGCCGCCTGCCACCTCCTCGAGTTCGCTGTTGGCAACGCACGCTTCCCGTAATTCTATGGCACCGTATGTGACCGCCTCCCCCTTGCCATCGTAGCCGTCTGCGGTGCCGTATGTGACCGCCTCCCCCTCGCCATCGCCGCCGTCTGCTGTGCCATATGTGACCCGCTCCACCTCGCCATCGCCGCCGCCCAACTCCTCAAGTTCGTCGTCGCCAGCGCCAACTTTCCATTTCTCTAGGCGGCTGTCGTCGCTGTTCCCCTCGAGTTCTCCTCCACCTCCGTCAGGGGGTATATCTACGGAGCTGGTTGTGATTGTGATTGCTGTCGTGGCGGCCCTTGCCTTTTTGGGCTCTTGGTCTTTTATCACTGCAAAAATAAGAAACAAAACAATGATAGCTCTGTTTCACCGTCGCCACCACAAGGGCCTAAATGTGAGTCTCTACGAACTATTCAGATTCGGTGAATAGCTGTTTTTCTTAACACGCATTTATCTAATTACCTTTAGTAACTCTCGGGTTTGTGAAATTAATGCGTATGCTGCTGTAATTGTTTTGTAGATCTGGTTCACAGTATCGGGGCCTTAACTTTTCATCTACTTGAAATGGTATTCTTTTCCTGTTAAAAGTCATTGGATTGGCATTTAGATGGGCTAATTTAGCTAGCTCGCTCGCTCGTTTTCCTGAAACATAAAGCTCATGTCTCCATGCATATGAAAAAGATAATTTGAGTTGTTCGATTAGTGGCTTAGGAAGGAAATTACAGGGGCGGTTTAATATGAAAAAGAAAAAGAAATTTTTAGGGACTAAAACTCAATTTAAAGTTAAGCTTTTTTATCTTTTTAGTAAAAACAATATAAATTCTTATTAGAAATTTATTTTCTAATTTTCTAATATGCAAAATTAGTAATTAAATTTTTATACTCAATTTTTCTAATATTTCTTTTGAATTGATAATATAACTATAATTTATTTAATCTTTATTGTAAATCCATCTTCTCTATATTTAAAAAAAAGAAAGAAAACCTTTTAGTTCATCTATAGCAACATCAATATGCATATTTTTTTATTGTAAAATTTTGCTAATTAAGTTAATAACAAATAATATATCATACCATATAGTCATGCGCACCCTAAACTCAAATTTTCAAGTTCATATGCGGCTAAACAATTAGCTTCACTTTTAGTTATTGGATTCTCAATAATATCTTCTATTTCAATGAAAACATCTCTTATTTGTGGACTTTGAAATCTTATTACTTTAATGCTTTCAATATGCCTTTGCCAACGTGTTTTTGACAATGATTTGAGATTTGAATTGGGTATATTATCCTTTAAAAATTTTTATCTTTTAGTAGAAGAAGAAAATAATGAATATACACATTGTACCACTCCGAAAAATTATATAATTTTAATACAAGAATTAGCCATGTCACAAAGTCCTAAATTTAGATCATGACAACCAAATGGTGTATAAAATGATATAGGATCAATATCTGGAAGTCTTTTTTGCACTCCTTGGTATTTTCCCTTCATATTCGATCAATTGTCATATCCTTGTCCTCTAAAGTTATTTAGATCAAGTCTAGTATTTTTTATTTCATCCAAAACAATACCAAAAAGACCTCTTCCACTTATAACAGCTACTTTTAAAAATTCTAAAAAGAATTCTGTAATTTTTATGAGAGTTGATGAAAATATCAATAGTTCACAATATGAAAGACATTTGCTCTTGATGAGTTGCATCTCAAGTGCAACCAAGTATGAATGAAAAATATTTAGCTTCTATAACTTTTTAAATAATTTTATTTTTAATTTCATTTGCTAACAAATTTATCAATTCATTCTGCATGTTATGTCCAAAGTAATGATTGTGAATTTCTTCATGTTTAATTCGTCGAATGTGTTCTTGCATCACTTGATCAAATTCTGCAATCATTTGCATTACTTTCTTAGTAGTTCTTTTTAGTTTTTCTCCTAAAGGCCAAATTATTTTTACCAACGGTTTTTTTTTTAACAATAATAGTTATCAAATGTTCTTTTTATTTATTTGTTCTTGAACATTCTTATCAATTGTTTTATTTTTCTGTATCTTTACTTATTTGTTCTTGAACATTCTTCTCGGTTGTTTTATTTTTCAACAATTTTTTTTTTTCTAAATCAATCCATGAACTCATATCAATAATGTGCTCATTGCTTGCTTCAATATTTTTAAGTTTATGATTAAGATTTCTCCAATCTCTGCTACCTTCATTAGGATAGTTTATTAGTACTAGAATTAGAATTAAACAAATTGCAATAAAAGCAAAATACTCTATCAAAATCTTTAGAGAAACCATCTTGTTTCATACTTCTCCCCATTTGCCATTTTTTTTCAATATAATGTGTGATAGAAAAATATCTTGAGAATTGATCCTTTGGAAAATCTTCATTAATAACTTTAATAGGCCCCTTCTCTATTAATAAGTCTCTCAATTTTGTACCAATATTATTCCATTAAATTGGATCATAAATGCTTTTAAAAATGCAATCATTTAGTTCATTAGTTAGTTCTCTTGAGAAACGTATCAAATTTTTCATTAACTTTTCTTCCTGTATTTCATTATTTTTTAATTCAACTAAATTCTTTACTTGTTCATGTAAAGAGCACTCTCTAATATTTTTTGGTTACTTTTTATTATTTTTGTTACAAATTTATTAAGAGTTTCTTTTTGAGATTGTATTAGATTTCAATTCTTTTCTTTCTTTTAAGTTTTGAATAACCAGGTTGATATTTTCTAGTTAACATATTTAGATTCTTACAAATTACAAACAACAAAATATACCTGTGAATAACTTAAATTTAATAAATAAAAATATGTGTAAAGAATAATTACAAGTTAGAATAATAAGATTGCTCCTCAATATTAGAACAATGGAGATTGCAATAAATATTATTTCACAAAAATACTTCAATATTAGAATGATTTTACTCCTCAACCCAAAAAAATCTATATTTTATTCCTCGTGTGAAGAGAGAGAGAAAGAGAGAAAGAGAGAGAGCTGCCACATATAGGAGGTTTAAAGTTTTATTCATAACAAGAAACTAGTGAAAATAATAAAATTCAAATTAAAATACTAGGTTTTAATGAAAAATTAAAAATATTTAATGAAACATATAGGAGAGGAACTTTAGAAAGTAAACATTGAAAAGAATTAAGATAAATGAATATTAAAATTAAAAAATAATCATTTTGTGAATAGGAGATTTTAATTATAAAATAAATAGGAAAAAAAATTATGAGTTATGAGAAAGTATTTAAGTAGTGGTTGACTAATCAACAAAGATAATATTAATTGTTATTAGTTCTTAAATTTTTTTATAATTATTTAAATTATTAATAATAATAAAATCTTATAAAGACCTAAAATTTTAGATTTTAAAATGTTTGAGAGCTAAAACAATTGTTTTATCTGCTTTATAGTAGCGCGTTGCCTATCTGTTTTGCTTCATAAATGTCTTTTGAATTATCCTTTGGAATGTACGATCTTAATGATGGTTTCAGATAACTTAACAAGCTTTGTTTGATCTTCTACATGGCGTACCAGAAACTGTTCAATTTTTTCCTTTATTCTTTTCTTGCTTGGCTTCCTCATACCCTAATGTAGTGCTCTTAGCAGTAATATTAAATGTATTTATGCTTTGTACTTTTCATGACAATTGCTAGATGATCCATATGGTAAGGGGGTCAAGATGCCACCGAAACCCTCTCCTCCTCCTGCAGTTTCTTCCCATCCACCAGAACCTGAGAACTCACCTCATTCACCATCCCTTCAATTAGCCTTGAATTTACCAAGCACGTTCACACGGGAAGAATTGGCAACGGCAACCGATAACTTTTCGAATGCCAATCTCCTTGGACAAGGAGGTTTTGGTTATGTGCACAAGGGAGTTCTTTCAAATGGTAGAGAAGTTGCAGTTAAGCAACTGAAAGAAGGAAGTCATCAGGGGGACCGTGAATTTAAAACAGAAGTTGAGATCATCAGCCAAGTGCATCACAAGCACCTTGTTTCGTTAGTTGGCTACTGCATCACTGGATCACAACGTATGCTTGTTTACGAGTTTGTTCCAAACCACAGCTTGGAATTTCATTTACATTGTGAGTTTTCATTTTCCTTATTTTTTTCCCCTTTTCTCTAAGGTGCAGGGGGAGTCATGGGCCTAGGGAATTGCTTACTGGGTATTTACTTATCTGATTTCTATTCTGTTACTCTTTATGCTTATATAACTTTTTTGAGATCTACCAGAGATTATTGTTAATATTTCCTTTTTTTTTTTTTTCTATATTCTAAAATTCCAATCTTCTTGAGACTCTTAGCTTACAGCAGCATACTAACGGTGATCATTCTTCAAATGCAGTTAGGCTACAAGTTTATATGCTTTATATTCTAGGAGTTGTTGGTCATATTCCCAAAATAATTCTGGTGAAAGGATTTTTGATAGAGTATTAAAAATTTACAGGAAAAGAAAGTCATGCCATGGATTGGCCCACAAGACTAGAGATTGCTCGAGGGGTTGCCAAAGTACTGGCCTATCTGCATGAGGAGTGTAAGTTCTCTTCTTTCATATGCTTGTTTCTTATTGTTTAGGAGCATCATACACTATCCAAAGTACGATGATGGACTTACCTATATTTTCAGGTAAGGTGCCGATCATACACCGTGACATTAAGGCAGCTAATATACTTCTGGATTTTAACTTCGAGGCAAAGGTAAAATTTCTTCATGAACATGGGTTAGAAGTCATAGAAACTTACAGAAATTTTAAGTTATAAATTAATGACAACCTTGATTTGCTGTCTTATTATTTCCCTTGCATCTGTGGATTTGGTTTTTACCACATCTTAGAAATAAGTGGCGCTTCCTCTATTCTTCCTATGCAACATTATTAGCAAGATTTTATTATTATCAGTATGAGTATTGATGAGTATTTTATAGTTACAAATGAGAAAATGCCAAATGGAATTTTTACTTTGGTGCTCATTCTTGTCTCTATATCAGTAAATTTGATAATTTTCCTTCCATGATACAGGTTTCAGACTTTGGACTTGCAAAGTTTTTTCCCGATAACTATACTCACATATCCACTGCAGTGAAGGGAACTTTTGGGTGAGACCTCACATTAAGCAGTATGTTTGATTATTTTTCTTTGATGATAGTCACTGCTTCAAGCATTCGAAAATGCCAATATATGCAGCATCAGTACAGTTTTCCATTTATTATATTTCTTGTTCTTAAGATTATTTTGTGAAAGCCCAACATAGTTCGAACGCCTGTGCTCATGTAAATCTGCTTTTATCTAGCTTTCTTGGTCCAATTTATACTCAAGTTTGAAAATTGAGCTATAATTTAGATTTATAATTGATTTTGCTATGAATGATCTGATTCTCAATGCCGTGTTTGTTTGTCATTTTTAAGTTTCATATTATGCTGTTGTGCAAATGAAAGAGATATTTTATTGTCACCGGCAATAGTTCTTTGTTGAATATCTTATTCCATTCTAATGTGGTCTTTCCATTTCTAGATACATGGCTCCAGAGTATGCTTCTTCTGGTAGACTTACAGCGAAGTCTGATGTTTTCTCATTTGGAGTTGTGCTTCTGGAATTAGTTACAGGACAAAAACCTACCAACAATGACATTGGCTTGGCAACTTCGGTGAGTAATTATGTCAAATCATTAACAACCTGTTTGAATTTGTTTTTGGAAATAGAAAACACATTTGGAAGGTCAATTTTGGAAATTGGTTTTTGGAGAATTTCCAAAAAACCTACTTTGTTTTTAGAAAAAAGTGTGAAGTTATTTCGAAATTCTCAAGAACTATTTTCACCTAAAAATGAAAACAAAATTTGTTTTAAGATTTTCACTGTTTTCTGTTCCCAAAAACATACAAAATGAAAACTGAAACAGAAAACGAGAAAGAGAATACAAATCCAGATAGACACGTCTTTCTAAGACATTGCTACATATAGTTGATAGGTTGCAAAGCTTCCAATGAAGTCTCTCTCTCACACACACACACACACACACGCACACATTGAATTTCCCTAATGGAAGCCTTTAATATTTTATACCATTTTCACTCGCGCAACAACTCCATTCTAGCCTAACAAAAGTCCAATATAGGCAAGGCGCCCGCTCTTGCGAGCTTTAAAAGATGGAAACTTTAGTGCCCATGTTGATCCACGGTTGCAAATGTGTTACGTCCACAACGAGATGGTTTGCATGGTTGCTTGTGCTGTTTCTTGTGTGCGTCGTTCAGCAAAACAAACGTCCAACAATGAGCCAGGTAATTACTGTAGAATTTAAGAGTTTCAACGACGGCCAAGGTAAATAATTGCAATTTCTTAAGCATATTAATCAAATTGTATGAAATCAACCGTCTTTCACTTAGTTAAGGCATTCTGATATTCTATTGTTACTAGTAATTGTAGTTGCTGCTATCCATATCAATGTAGGAAAGGCATGAAAATCCTCATAATGATTGTCGAGCGAAAACTCTAATGTGCCAAATAAAAAGTTATGGTGACGACTGACAACCATGGACTACCTAACTTGTTATGTTAGTGAAACTAGGATTGAGGTTAATGATTTTTTTTTCTCTAGGACATACACGTGAAAGTGTTTTCAGATTTTGATAATTGAAGTTTTGCCTCCTGACAATTAGCATCTCTTCTAACATACATCTTCAGTCCTGTGACCTATTATGGTGCATGAATAACCGTAGTTAGGCTTTAACATTTTAGGACAGATGCTTGAATTTGGTTATTCATGCGTTATTTGCATGGCTAACTCCTACTGATGGAGAAAATTGGAATATCAGGTTCTAGAGGCCTTAAAAGGAAACTTTCCTTTATCTGATCTTAACGAGGGAATCCCCCTTGCAAACAACGGCAGCCTAGACGATGACACTAACCAGAACAACGAGGATATTGAGAGACTCGGGAGGATGGATTTCGGAACCCAGGACTCTGGCAACGCCGAGTACAGTGAGCCTACCAGCAGAAATGGATAGTAACCATCAGGCTCTAGTAGCGAAAGACAACACTCAACTCCCGAAATGGAGATGGGAAGGACCAAGAATGGCAGATGATGCAGATATATTGCTTTGGAATAGTGTTTTAAAAATAGTTAAAGATACTATTATTTCATCGTATGTTTGTTTTTGAAACATATTTAAATTATGTGCTTTTATGGATTATTCATATTTAAATTGATAAAATTAAAAGATAAAAATTAAAATAAAAAATAACTAAAGATCATGAATTAAATTAAATGTATTTTAAAATTATGTTGTGCGCGTGCACGCATAATAAAATATACAATATATGGTACATAATAAAATATTTTATTTTGTAAAATATAAGTGAAGTAACTTATTTTATAAATTGAATATGATATAAATATTATATTCAGTTTTTAAAAGTAAATATTTTAATTTTGAACTGGTGTTTTAATAATATTATTTAAAAAAATAATATTTTTAAAAATTTGATATTGAAAATAAAAACTTATACGCCTAGAACTGTCTGTAAAACCTTGTGGTATTTATTTTTTAAAATTACTTTATTCGTTGATTTTAGAGAATTTGGTGGACTGCTCCTTTGATTTGACATAACCAATGCCAATCTTTCCTCCTCTCCGCCCGAGAAGATATGGTTTGTTTTTGTACTTAGTTGTCAGGTAAAATAATTTGGTTTTACATGAAATTTTTTATAAAATTTATACTACATTAATTTTTTTTATTTTTTTAATATTAAAATTAAAATTATACTTTTTAATATAATATTATTATTTTTGATTCATTTATTTTAATTCGGTATGGCATGACATAATCACTCATAATTTAAGTTTTAACATAGTCACTAATACAAAATAGATAAAAAGTATTAGGGACTTTCCGTCGAAAAATAAGCAAATTCAAATGCTCCCAGCATCAAGCGTTTGCTATAGTTCACAATAAAGACAAATAAATTTTCCATTATATGCACAAATAGAGATTTAAAAGCATCCAAAAATTGAATATGTCCACTTCTCCAATGCATTGCCAAGTTCGAGTTTTATATATATACACTACATAATCTTTAAAAGGCATAGGGTTACATGTTGCATTATTACGTATTATTAATGTTTAAATGTAAAATAGAAACATTTTTTTTTTAAATATTCCTTTTCACCATATTTTTTAAATTACAAGGTGCTTCAAGCCATTAATTTTTGGACATTAACATTGGCTTCCATACTGAGTGCGCGCTAGAGTCTGCACCTCGCCTACAGATAGGAGTGTGCAAATTATATTTTTGGTTTGATTTTTGATATTTTAGTTTAGTTTTTTAGTTTTTTAGTTTTGATATTTTTAAAACCGAACCAAACTTAAAATTTTGGTTCGGTTTGGTTCAATTTTAAGTTTAATTTTTTATTAATTAAAAATATTTAAATAAATTATTTATTTAAATTTTTATTGTTAATATACATGTATATGCATGTATATGTATGTGTGTGTACAAGTATATATATTTGTATATACATACATATATATATATATACACACACACATACATGACATAAATATGTATATATTCATGTAAATATAAAAATATATATGTATACGTGTACACGTAATTCTATTCATAGTTCCGGTTCGGATCTTGAACTGGCCCAGACTGGACTAGGAAAAAATCGAATCGAACCAGACCAACAATATCCGGTCCGATCCAGTTTTGAACCATGAAGGTTTGCGGTTCGTTATGGTTTAGGTTTTTTTAAACCGAAACTGTGAGTGAACCGTGAACCAGAACCGTATACGAATTGTGAACGAATCGCTAATGAACTGTGAACGAACAGGACCATGAATGAACTGTGAACAAACCATGAATGAACTGAACTGTATATGCATAAATATGTAAATACATATATTTCATGTATATATGTATGTATATATACATGTGTGTGTGTACACATAGACACACACACACACACATAACATAAATATATGTATATATGTTATGTATAAATATATATGTGTAAATGCACACGCACACATATATACACAAACATACACACACACACACGCACACATACATAATATATATGCATGCGCAGGTGCGCGTGCACACACACACACACACACACATATAGGTATATACATATATGCATAAATATACAAATATGCACATTTACGTATTTATGTGTGTATATATATACATGTGTGTGTACAAACTCACACATATATTTGTGTGCACACACATGTATATATATATACATATATATATGTATACATATATGTATTTATATATTTACATGTACATATATTTATATTTGTATAGGTATAAAAAATTTATATATATGTATGTATGTTTGTGTGTGTACATACACATATAAGTATATATATGTATATATATACATGTATATATATGTATGTCCTTATATATATCTATATGTATCTATATATTTATATACAATATAAATATATATACATACATATATATATATTTTTATATTTGTATAAGTAGATATAATTTATATATATATATATATGTATGCATGTATGTTCATCTATGTATGTGTATGTACATACACTTATAAGTATATATATGTATATATAGATAAATATATGTAGGTGTGTGTGTATATATTAATATTTTTAGTAAAGAATTTTTAAAATTTTAGTTTTTGGTTTAAAATAGTTTTGTTTGGTTTTAAACCAAACCAAATCATAATATTAAGTTTTTTTACCAAACTAAATCAAACCAAATTAAATTTTTAAAAAAATAAATCAAAATTTAAAATTTAATTTAATTTAATTAATTAATTTAGTTTTGCGCACCTCAGCCTACAGAACCCAAAGCAAATTGAGGTCGTGTCTTGGACTTGACACAACTGGGCCGGCCCAAAAACCATCTTCCAGCATACGTTCATTGGGGTCGTTGAGGGATGGAAATTTTGAATCTGAATCAGGATTCCGCTACCTATTTATATATCTGCAATTAAATTTGAATTTGGATCAATAACACTGACAATCCGAACTCAAACTTTGTCAGAATCTTTTTTTGGAATTGGGCTTCCGGGAGATCGTTGCCTAAATTAGGGGTATTTGTATGTCTGTGTTGAAATTTATAACAATCATAAAATATCTTAAGTTGTTATCAAAATTATTAATAATTTATTTAAATTAAAAATAAAATTTAATTTGTGAAATAAATTTATATTATATTAGCATAATCTTTTTTCAATAAATAAGAGTGTTTCCATATCATGCTAACTAATGTAAATCTAATTGTTAGGAATATATATTCTTGATAAATTAATTATATAGGTGGCGTGTGGTACAATAGAATGATTTTTGATAGAATGGAAATGAGAGTAGGAATAAAAATAGAATGGAATGAATTCAAAATTCTCATAAGTATGTTTGGTACATACTAATAAAATAAAAATTCTCATTTTATTATTATGTTTGGTGTCTTGGAATGAAAGTGGGAAATAAAATAAAAAAATGTTCAAATACAAAAATACCATTTATTAAAAACAGTTAAATAACTTTTATTTTTAATATATTATTAATATAATAAAAATTTAAAAATTGAAAAATTTATATTCTAACCTTAAATATTAAATTTCAAAACAAATAATTTAATAATACAATATTATATAATATATATATATGTAGTTGTTGAAACTTTATAAAATGGTGTTTGGTTTTTTTAACAATTTAATTCTTTATTTTTTTAAATTTTTTTCTAAGTATCAGACTATTAACATGTTATATGATTTAGCGTACAATAATATTGTATGTTCACTTATTCTACTACTATTTTATTATCCCTTAATATAAGGAAAAAATGTTAAAATACCCTATTATAAAATATTTGTGACTTTTGATATATTAAGGTAGTTTTGTCATTTATTAAAAATACAAAAGATAATAAAGTAATTTTATATTTACTTGAAAGAATGGAATTTGGATTTCCATTTCAATATATTTACCAAACATGATTTTATAAAATTTTCACTTTTATTCTTATTCCCAAAATTTCACCCTACCATACAATATCATGGTTAGCACTCTTATGCTTGGGCTTAGTTTCATTTTGCCTTAGAACTTTGACTTGAATTTTCAAACATCACCGTCTAGTCAAATTGCCACCAATTCCATCCAAGGAATATAGTTAAAAAGTGGAAAGCAAAATATAAAGGTTGCTGTAATGGGTTCAATTGCAATAATTGAAAACATAAGGTGTAAAGTGAAACTAACACAATAACACTGCCAGGAGTTGAATATGATGATTTAATTTATTAAACAGCCACTGGTTATTTACAGATTTTAAACCAAGTACCCAAATTAATGAAATTCAAGTAATTGATCCCTCACAAAAGTTATGCTTAAGGCCAACACGAAAGGGAGAGGGAAATGAAACATCATTCATATGGTGTTTGACATGGCTTGTAATGCGCTTAGTTCTTCTATCGAGACATGTCATAAGTCACAAGACACAAACGATGCCAGCAATGAATTGGCATTTATACATTTGCATTTATTTTGACTGGCATTAATATTTGGCTAGGGCGACGCTAATTTCATTCCTTACTGTTGAGAATTTGATAGCAGAATTATAAAATTTAGAGATGCAATTGAAAATTTCCTGATATTAAGGTCCCGTTAGTGTATAATTTAGAGAAAATTATCAAGCTGGACAACCAGTAAAATTAATAATTTGAATGGTCGAAATATAAAATATTTTTACTCAAAGTACAAAAAGAAATTGTCAGTGAATGATAATTATTTTCAAAATATCCGTATTATCACAATTTTTATAAGTATAAATTTACATAATTATAAGTATAAATCTGAATAATTAAAAGTATAAATTTGTGTAATTATAAGTATATATCTATGTTATAATTATACAAATTTTTACTTATAATTATATAAATGTATATTTATAATTATAAATATTTATACTTGTTATAATTATAATAATAATTATATTTTGAGAACACAAATGTTCTTCA